GTGCCTGCACCTAGGGTTTCCCCCACCTGCCCTGTCACTTTGCGGGCACCAACGTCTCTGAACTCAGTCTTCACATTTTAAAATGGGGCTACAAATCGGTTCCCTTCTCAGGGTTGAAGCAAGGGTGAAATGAGGTCATGGATGTCCGACACTTTGCATATTCATAATACTCCATGGAAACGGGATGCAGCCCAAACCCCCAGCAGCAGGAGGATGGGTGAGTACACAGTTGTCTCTTCCCCCATGGAAGATTCTCCAGCGATGACAATAAATGGCCTCCAATGGCATAAAATGGTATCGATGGATCTCATCAACGTCACGCTGAGTGAAGGAAGCCACACACGAAAGAGCACATACGGTACGGTCCCATGAATGTAAACTCCCCAAACACAAAATTCATCTGTGCACAGAGAAGTCGGGGTAGCGGTCGACCTTCGAGCGTAGTGACTGGCAGATGGACATCCGAGGGCTAGTTGTGCATGTGCATTCAGTCTGTGAAAACTCGCTCAACTACACCTTTACGTGTGGACAACAAAAATGTAGAAAAGGCTTGCATGGTGCCTGGCACATAGTAACTCATGATTAGTATTATTTTTTTCCCCCCGACTACACAGTGTTTCAACAGGAAAGTGTGGTAGAGTGCAAGGGTTGGCAAATTTTTTCCGTAGAGGGTCGGACGGTAAATATTTCTGACTTTGCAAACCCTATAGTCTCTGTAGCCGCTGCTCAACTCTGCTGTTGTATCTCCAGGTCAGTGTGTAAATGAGTGAGCGTGGCTGTGTTCCAATAATACTTTATTTACAAAAACAGGTGACGGGCCGGATTCGCTGACTCCTGCCTGGTCTAGTGGAAGAGGGGCTGGGTTCCAAAGCCTCCGTCACCGAGTCCCTGCAGGACTCCGTTCAGCCACTTCCCTGGCCTCGGATTTCCTGTCTGTATAATGGGGAGGCGGGTCCCTAAGCTACCACTCGGGGTTGCAAGGAGGTCAGGTGAGCTCATGACTGAGGGAGCCCTGAGGGAGAAAAGGGCAGGCGTTAAGGGCCTCTTGAGATTCTTCGATGCAAAGCAGATTGTTATTTCTGCCAAAGCCTCAAGAGAGAAAGACGTTGACCGTGAGTCAGCCAGTGCAGCCATGGGCACCAGTGTCCCAAGGGTAGTCCAGAAGAAGACAGGACCCACAGGCCTGGCACCACATCCCGATCCTTGCCTCCCAGAGGCCTTCGCCCCAAGAGCCTGTGGCAGGAGAACAATGGGGAAGGAGAGAAACTGGAAAACCAAGTCCCCTGTGGGCTGTTCCTCTGAGACCCAGGGCCGGAAGCTCCCTGCTCTGATCAAGTCCTCAAATCTCCAGCCCTTTCTTTGCTCACACCCTTGCCTCAGGCAGGAATGTTTTCTCCTCATCCTGGGACCCAGGCCTGGATCATCTGTGCCTGCCTGGTGGATAACTCGGGTGTCAGTCACTCTGGGACGAGATGAGTCTTCAGAGAGCAGAGTGTCACTCAGAGGCAAGCCCAGAGCAGCCGGGGATGAGCGAGTCTTGCCTTTTCCTGTGCCTCATTTTCTAGGAGCTGGACTTCTGGAGTCCAGACATATTCGAGGATAATAAATATAATTGTAACAATAGCAGCTGATATGTATTGAGATTGACTAGGTGCCAGGGCTCATCTCGAGTCTTAATTCCTTTAATCCTCACACCAGCCCGAGTGACCACTATTATTCTCCCCATTTTCCAAGTGAGGAAACTGGGGCCCGGAGAGGTTAAGCTACTTACCTGAGGTCACGCAGCTCTGAAGGGCTGGAGCTCTGAGGATCATAGAAGAAGCTGCTTCAGAAGGGGTCCCTGTTACCCTCTGTTTATTTCCTTGTCCTCAGCTTTGAAACTTCCAGGTCCTGGTCACCGGGAAGCATTGAAAGAACAGTCTGGAGCAGGAGAAGGACACTCCCAGGGAGGAGTGGGAGCTACCCTATCAGCAACCACCCCTCCCGGATTTGTTCGGGAGACACTCCAAGCCCTGGGACAGAGGGGTGGGTGTTGGCATGGGAAAGACCCCGTGAAAACCGACCTCGACTATGGATCGAGGGCATTTACTGGGTCACAAAATTGAAGAGGTCAGGAGGGCTGGTTCAGGGCCGGCCGGGGCCGCGTGCTCAAGTGCTGCTTCAGGAAGCTCGCACACCATCTTTTGCCCCTCTCCTGAGTTGGCTTCATCCTCAGGTTGGCTTCTCCTCACCTTGGAGCAGCTCCACTGAACAAGTCTAGCCAGCTCTCGAGCAGAACGCTCTCCCAAGGGCTCCTGCAAAAATCCCAGGGGCGACTCTCACCGGGCCACTTCAGGTCATGTGATCACTCCTGAACTCATTGCTTTCCCCAGGGGGAGGCCACAGCCACCCCTCAGGACTGAGAGTGGACGACAGGGACCCCTACTGGAAGAAGAAAGGACTACAAGTGGCAAAGGCGGCCGCTGTCTGCCTCTGGAGGAAAAGACACATTCCTCACCCAGTGGCCGGGTGGGGAGATTGGCCGTTGGGGGCTGCAATCCCTCCTCAGACTGACTTCTGACCTCCATGACACTGCTGACTTGGTCCAGACTCAGACTTGGACCAGAGCTTTCTCTGCCTGCCTCCCCCGCCCACCTACCTGCAGTACTGATCGCCTCAGGCCACCTGGGGACAAACAGGCCCTGCAGACAACTCCCAGCCTTCCGCTTGGCCTGCTGTCCCAGGTCCCAGTTGTCCTGCTCCCACGTCCAGTCTGGCCTTTGCCAATCCACGCCACTCACTGGCAGCCCCGTCCCCAGGCCAGAGACCTGACTCAGAGACTCCGGCCGCTCCTTACCATCGACAAGGGACAACGCGCTTCTGAGCCCCGTGCCTGGGCTTTCCCCACCATCCTAGAAGCCTCTCTGACCCCACATCAAGGGTCACAACCCCACACTGTGTTGGGCACCCAAGCGCACTGGCTCACTTCTCTGCCCAGGGAGGAAGGATCGAGCGAGTCGCTGCTGCCCCGGGCCCAGCACACAGCTAGGGTTCAGAAAGCGCCCCATACGCCTTGGGCATGACAGCTCCTCAATGAAGGGAGATGAGAGGAAGACAGACAGACGCACGGAGACAGACAGGGAGCTGAGACAGAGAGGCCAAGAGACACAGACGTGAAAAAGAATGACCGAGAGAGACTCAGGGGCATGAAGATGAGTGGCCGGGGTCGGGGGGAGCTCCATAGAGAGATGAGTCTGGAGGGAGGGATCCTCGTCCAGGACTGAGACCCAGGGGACAGACACACAGGGAAGACAGAAAACGGGACAGTGAAAGGCTGCCAGCTAGAGCGTTTTTTATGTTGTTGTTGTTAGGCAAACAAGCCCTTGTGATCTGTGTTCTGTCATCTGAACTTTCCATGCCAGTTCATGTCACTCAGCAACAGGTCCTGGTAAATCGCTGGAACAGTTAGAGAGGAAAGGGGTAGGGAGGAGAGGCCAACAGGGAGAGGCCGGTGCCCTCCAGGCCGGTGACCAGGGCGAGACCTGGCGCAGGCCTCCTCGCTCCCCCAGGGCAGGGTTTCATGTGGAAGAGGAAATGAGGCTGCACAGAAACAAGGGAAAAAAGCCAACTCAGGAGCCTGAGCCGAGAGGGAGGGAAACGGGAAGGGCCCTGGGAAGGTTCTGACCTGACCGCAAGTCACCACATGGTGAGTTATGACGAGTCGAGACAAACTTGCAATCCACCTGTAATGACTCTTTCAAAAGTCCCCGTCACGGTCCACAGTCTACAAGTCACCACATGGTGAGTTATGACAAGTCGAGACAAACTTGCAATCCACTTGTAATGAGGACTCTTTCAAAAGTCCCCGTCACGGTCCACAGTCTCCCAAAGTCAGGGACGCGGCAAACTACTGTCCTCAGCCGGGACCCAGGTTGGGGGGCCTGCTGTGGCTTTTAAACTGGGGCGCTGACTGGCTACATGACTCACGTAAGGGACAGTCCTGCCGTTGCCTCCCCTGTAGGAGGTGGCTGACAACACCCACCCGCAGCACCCACGGGTGCTTAACCGCTTAACGCTGGCAGCTCGTGACAGTCCCTCCCTGTGGGCGAGAAGCTAACAGTGTCCTGTACGAAGTCAAGGCCACGCAGCCGAGCGGGGGGCCACGGCAGCCCGTGAGGGACATTCTCACCATCAATCCAACTTGATTCTAACGCTACAAAATCACACGGCGGTCATGATTTGAATTTTTTTATTTTCTGAAATGGAATCATTGTACATTGTACAAACCATATCTACTGATGGAATAAATAAGTGAAAAATTATACTGCTGTACAACACACCAAAAAAAAAAAATTGTAAGAGGAAAAAAAAAAATCAGATAACATGAAAAGAGGTCTTTGCACCTCTAACCGGGTCCTTGGCGGTAACGAACACTCCAAACCACGACTTCGTTTGGGATGGGGGGGCTCACCACCCTGTCAGCCGCTCAACTGCCCTCTGGGTTATGGGTCTAAGTGCCAGCACTCTGTGGAATGTGTACCCGCAGCTCCCCCAGCTGTGAGTTTTTCGGGGAACCCGTTTGCCCTGGGAGCCCTTTAGGCCGCTGGGGCCCGGTGTGTCCTCGGAAGGCGTGCTGGGACCCCGCCCTGGCTCGGTGGCCGAAAGGTCTTAGATTCTGTGGTGGGAGAGGCACGGGCACAGGGCGGGCGGGGACGGAAGCACGTGTGGGGTTCTGCAGGCCCTGGCCAGCGTCCAGCGCGGGGCCACCGGCGCTTTGCCCAGCTGGCGTGGCCACGGCGGGGCCCGGCCGGTCCCCACCACTGGCCCATTCCTACCTTCAGGCACTTCAGAGAAAAACTAAATGACAGCCTCGTGTTGCGGATGGTGTCTTCATCCTCGACCATGTCGACTCCCCTTGCCTGTCCAGCGAGGCCACTGCAAACAGAATGGATGCAGGGGGGGCCCTGGCCGCCTCGCTGTCCCCGTGGACGTGTGTGTGTGTGTGTGTGTGTGTGTGTGTGTAAGTGTGTACTGTCTTGGTTGTCGCCTCTCGTTTCCCAAAAAAGAGCAGAGCAGGAAATAAACGTCGGAATTCATCTTCCATCAACATGGAGTTTTGCTGCGAAGAAAAGCGTTGTTAACTCTACAGGAGCTGGAGGTAAAGCCGCCTTGAGGTTCGCTGAGAGGTAACTGCAGAGCCCAGTTCTCCACAAACCGACCGCCTGAGGGCAAAGCTCATCAGGGTGTTTGTGTGGTGTTGTTGTTGTTGTTGTTGTTGAAGACAGAAACTTTTCTCAGGCATTACTAACTTCGACATTAAGATTTCCAAAGTTCGTTTGTTTGTTTTCCCTTATTTCAGGAGACATTTTTGCGTGAGGTATTTGAAATTCAGGAACATTTTGATTCTTCTTGAAGTGCAGGAAATAGATTGGCTCCCTTAAAGAGAACAAAAAGGTAAAGAGCCACACCCTCGGAAAACCCTAAAAACTGAACCTGGCAGACACTTCCCACGGTGGTCGAGAGAGAGAGATCCACAGTCAAAGGTGGTACCTGAATATGCACCGATTAGCAAAATAATTAATAATAATAATAAACATAAAAAAACAACAAGAACAGAAAAAGACCAACGGAACCCACACCCTCTCCCCCCCACCATACACAACTCGAAGAGAGTTGGAACTCCAGTGCAGTAAAGAAAGCTCAGGAAAAGCGTCTGTAAGGAACTAAGAGCCACCAAGCCTCGGAGCTGGACAGTCAGGCAGTTGGTCCATGTTAGTGAGCGGAAGCTGCCCCAGGCAGGTGGGGACGCCGGCACCCCTTCCCGGACGGGGGCAAAGCTTTCCGACCCCACGGGGCCTCCCTCCCGGCCTTCGAGGCCCCACCATAGAGGCCCGTTCCCTGGCAGGGACCGAGGGGCACGTCCTGGGAATGAGACAGGATCCAGCAGCTGGCTCGTGCGTCAGGACGTTATGCAGGAGCAAGTGGATTATGGGGACTGTCACCTTGCCTCCCCCGGGGGAGCGGCCGGGGGACCTGGGGAGGCAGAGGGCAGCGGGTCCCTGTGGGATCGAAACCCAAGCAACGTCCTGTCCTATGAAAAGGCAGCACCGCCCGTCCCCGCCGTCTGCTCCCGGCCTCCCTTGGCCGTTCCTTCGTCTTCAGGAGACAACCCCGCAGTCAGCCACAGAAGCCGCTTTGTCTTCGGAGGCATGGGAGACAGCGGGATGGGGGGCACGGACGGTGGAAGTGCCCGAACCATCTCAGGGCTCCGCGTGTCCGTCTGGGCCCGCTTGGGAACACCAGGCTCAGATGCCCTGAGGAAGTGAGAGCATATCGAGTAGCCAGTGCTTGGGGACAGTGGCCTGACATCGGAGAATCCCCGGACCCTGGAGGCTGGTGCTGCCCCCGGCCAGGGCTCAGGGTGTGCCCAAGACCCCCCACACCTAGAAGTCAGGCAGCCGAGGAGGTCCTGCTCTTCCGCAGCCTCTGGCTCTTTTCCTCCCTGCCTGCTCTGTTCCCGTTGAAGTCCCAGGGCAGGGAGGAGCGAGATGCGAGGGCTGGAGCCGTGGCCACCTCCGCAGAACTGAGAGGGCACTTTGCAAAGGGAGACGCAAAACAACCGGGAGAACATGCCAGAGGTCACCTCAAGGGCACAAGGCACAAAAAAAGAAAGCGGGAGGGATCGGTGGAATAGTGACAAGCCCCGACGAGAAGCGAATTCCTGATGGGCGCCACCTTCGAATAGCTTATATCATTAAATAGAGAAGTGGGGGGTGGGGGTGGGGGAACAATACAGCAGCAACGCAAACGCAAATCTTGGCTTCAGAGACAGTGTGCAGACACTCCTGAGCTGTCCACCCGCCTCCGCAAGGACAGTCGCTTCGAGACGCGAGTGTTTTTGCTTCACAGCAGAAAGTCCTTCAGTGTCTGAGGAGTCACGCCGTCCTACGTCTTCTTGGATTCGCACTTGGTAAACTTGGAAAGTGAGCAGTTCCGACCCGAGGGCTGGCTCGGGGGCAGGTGTGGAACGAAGCCAGCTGATGGCTCTCCCGCGAAACGAGGACCGGACAGGGCACCGGGCGTCTACATCTCTTCGGAGTTCTGCTGCGAAGTCTCCAGTTTCATCTTTTTCGAGGGCGGCCCTCCTTCCGAATCCTTGGGGAAGGAGAGAACGGCAGGTGAGTGCGGCATGACGTCGAAGAGGAGCCCACACGCCTGGCTGTTTCCCAAGCCCCGGGTCACCTGGGCCCCCCCTCCGCCTGTCGCCGTCACCCTGGCTTCGTACCCATGTGCCTCTAAGCACCCCTCCCCTTAACCCCGTCCGGCTTGGAGGGGGCGGCCCCGTTATCTGTCCTCCGATCTGTCATTAACTGCCAGGGTAGTGATTTACGCACAGGTTTCAAGTTTACCTCTCCAAGCCCCGAGACCAAGCTTGCCGAGTTGACGACTGCTCCCGCGGGGCCCAGCACAGGTGCCTGGCCCGGGGTGGATGCTCGGTGGTTGGTGAACGTGCATGTGTATTTTATTCTGGGGATAGGGTGCATCGTTGTCACCAGATTCCCAAGAAGTCCCTCGACTCAACACGTGCTCACCCGCCTCTGCCTTGACTGTCCCACTAAACTGTCTCAGGCATCACCAACCTGACCTCGTCACCCAAGACCCGCTCCCAACATCCCCCATCCCAGCCAGAGCTCCTGGGTCCGCTGGTGGTGCCATCTGCCTGGGAAAAAGCTGGACGGGGCCCGGGAGTCCTCCCTGTCTCTGAACTCCCACGCCCGGCCTCACAGCAAGGTCCCTCTGATCCGTCTCAAAGGCGCTCGAGCCCGCCCCCCACCCCCAACCCCGTCTGCACCTGAGCCGCCACTATCTCTGGCCTGGATGACGTAGCAGCTCACTCCGCAGCCACTCCACACAGCCTTTGACACAGCCCAGGCCACCTTTGCAGAATCATACGTAGCATCTAAAACCTGCCGACGCTTCCCCACTGACTTCGGAACAAAATCCCAACTCCTTGCCAGGCAGGGAAGGTCCTGGGGACCTGGACCCACTCGAACCAGGCACCTTACATCGCCCACTAGGCTCCAGCCACCCTGGTCCCTTCTATTCCTCAGGCTCACGCCTGTCTCCAGGCCCATGCACCTATGGCTCCCTCTGCCTAGAAAGCCTGCCCTCCCGGCCTAATTCCTTCTCCTTCCCAGAATGCTCCACTCTCATCAGAGTTCTGTGCATCGCCCTGGGCCGGATCTCCCATGGCACACATGGCGGCTTTGCAGTCTGCCGTGTCTGCTGTATCCTGGCTGAGTCTCTCCCTCCCCAACCCGATCATGAGCCCCATGAGGGCAGGGAGGGACCTCGTCTGCTGCTTCACCCTGGGTCTCCATTATCTGGCATCGAGCCTAGTACACAGTGGGTGCCTAATTAATTACTGTTAAATAGAGATCCAGGGGCCTTGAGATAGGACACGTAGGAGCTTCTTGGGGCCTGAGAGCAGGTGTCACAGGGAGAGATGACAGACACAGGAAGAAGATGCCTCTGTCTTCCCTCCCCTTTTTCTTAGTAGGAAAGTGACAAAAGCTGAATCCAGACGTAACAGGAGAAAGCAGGCCATGGAGCCTTCCGAGATCCTGTTCAGGAGGAGGTTCTGCGGTTCTGCGGAGCACTTGGAAGGGCAGAGGGGAACCGCTCTCCGTAACAGAGGGAGCAGGAGGCAGAGCGGGGCAGGGAGATGGAAATGAAGGGGAGAAGTGAGTGAGCCTGGCTCCACGGAGAAGAGCAGAGAAACCCTCGGATGGAGGGGTGGCGTGGGGACCCTGTCCTTCCTTTTTCAACAGGAATGGCCGGACTTCAATGTCAAGTTGTTTGCTTTTACTGCAAAGAATCTTGCATCCTGCTCACAAACCTAGCAGCTCTGCAGGAGAATGTGGGTGTCTCTGCGTGAAAACAGTGGAGGAGGTCTGGGCCCCCCGGAAACGGCAGCGGAGGCAGCAGCGTGTTAGAATGGAAGACCCCAGGACTTGTCCAGATGTCGGGGGCTGAGGGAGGGGAAGCGCTAGACGCCTCCAGGGTGTGGGTCTACGTCTCCAGCTGACCTTTCCTCTACTGAGTTCAAGAGGCCACGAGACCCCGCCAACACCTTGGTTCTACAAACCATACATGAAGCTCTGAATTTTATTTTTAATCAAACGGGCTCACGCGAGGCCTGAGGCTCTGTGGCTTGCTTTCCTCGTTTTGCATGGCGAGAACATTTATTTTTTATCTGTACCTGGGCCAACTGTACCCTTTTTAACAGCTGCCTCCCGGTCTGTTTTACACACAGCCCTGGAGCTATTCGGCCAGTTCCCTTTCGACAAATTTCCTGCCACGGGCAGCACAGCTCCCATCAACACTCCCTGTGTGTCTCGGGCATCTGGAGAGTGTTCCATAGGAGAGAGGGAGGTGCAGATCTGAGGATATGCAGAAGATCAAGTCTGGGGCTCGTCCCCTAGGGAGGCCTGGCTCAAGGTTCCACGGTGTGCCGGCCAAGCTTTGCTGGATCCCGGCCTTTCCCTCCTGCCTGCTAACTTATTGTCAGTTTCCCCCGAGGTACCGACTGGAAACGACTCAGCAAAGGGGAAATGTTTCCAGTTGACGTTTTGATAGCTCTGTGTCCCCGCTCCTTTTGGATGGGCACAGGAGGTCGACGGTGTAAGTCATCCTGGTGGACACGGCAACACTGAGGCACGTCCTGGGTCCAGCTCCGCGGAGAGTGTGCCTCCTCCCCCATTTTCTGGTCTCAGCCTCACCCTGGCCCCAGCACGGTTCTGCGACCCTATTCTGGCAGCTGGAGACACTGCAGCTCAGTGCGTGCTAAGTGACGGGGCTGGGATTCGAACCCGGGACCTTTGTTCCTATCCACTGGGCCCCCTGCTTCTGCACTGTCTGATTCAAACCAGATTCTGACAAAGAGTGATAATCCAGAAAGGGGTCTGAGGAAGGGGGAGTGTGGTCAGCTGCAAAATATCTCCAAAGACTGTTTCACCCAGCACTGAAGATGCTGACGACATCTGCCCAGCTCTAGAGGAAGCTGACTCTGGGTCTCTGAGAGCAGGCAGGGCTTTTGTGGTCGCAAATAAGCAGAGTGACGAAGCCGAGGCTGGGACGAGGTGCCCTCCCTCTTCCCGCACCCACCGCGAGGGCAGGGTCCCTGTGTCTCGTCCTTCACGACAGCCCCCGTGCCAGGGCGGGACACAGAAGGACGCTCCCGACTCTAGCTCAATGGATACACGCAAGTGCCAATTGTCCAACGAGAACACGAGAGAACAAAGTAACAAAACACCTTTCAACGTACCCCCGACACCCCAACGGGCTCCCGGCCGATCTGGCTGCCCCTCTGAGACCTCGAGCGAGGTACCTGAGAGACTGAGGACGTCTCTGCCCCTGGCCCCGCGTCTCCAGGCGGCTGCCGCTCGACGTTCTCTGCACTGCTCATCGAGTTTTCCGCTGGAGACTGTGAATTCGGCTCGTCGGAAGCGTCTGAGGGAAGAACACGATGACAGATGCTGTTTTCAGACACGTGAGATGCGAGGCCAGATGGACCCATTACTAAAAATACCTGGAGCTGGGTGGTTTGGGGGCCAGGCGGTCTGTCAGGGCCGCCGTGAGCCGCCGGGTTTGGGGAGCCTCTTGCTTATTTTTTTCAGCGATGTCGTTTTCAGCAGCCAGGCAGGACAGGCGCTGGCCCTGTGGCCTCCGGCCCTTGCCTGCCCACCCACCGCTTTGCCACGTGCCCCTGGAGGACATCTAAAGGGTGCCACAGCCTCTGTGCCGCGGGCACCCAGCGCCCCCTGGTGGCCACAGAGCATTCCAGCCGCTATGGCTGCGACTCCTCCCTCCTCCACGGGAGCCGGCACTCCCCATCTGCCCCCATAGGTAACTGGTCGGTCCTTCGCAAACACCTCCCTTAATGGGATGGGTGTTTTCCTGATCGTCAGAGCAATGACTGATCACGGCAAGAAACAGAAAAGACAGGGGAAGAAAAACAAGTTAAAACCGCAGATTATCTCCCGCGGCCCAGGGCGGCCACCCGGCTAACGTTTCGGAGGACTGACTGACTCCCATCTTTCCAGATGTTTTCCCCGCGACCCGCACACAATCCTCCTCGCTCCCCAAACAGGGATCACACGGCATTTTGGAAGCACTGTTCATGTCTTTAAAAATTCTCGAAGTACGAGAACATGCAAGATGGCTGCACAGCATCCTAGCAAGCAGTCACTTCTTTAATGAAGCCTGTTTTGCCCGTTACTTGGGTTATTTCTTCCTTTAGCACAGGGAAGGAGCGGGGCACAGCAGGTTGTAGGAGGGGGTGCGGCTTTGGAAGAAGAGGTACCTGTGGTCCCACCTAAGCTTATCTGGGGCGCTGAGCTGGAGAGCTCCCGGAGAGAACAGCGACATCCCACCCAGGGCCCCAGCTGGCATGCGAGGCCCCGACAACATATGCCACTGATTTTTTTTTATGCGCACTAAAATACTCAAGAATGCCTTACTTTCTGGGGTTGCTGAGGCAGAGGAGTAACAAAGGAGGGGGGTGGGAATCTATGGGGAAATGGGCCTGACTGGCGAGGGGCGCAGGGGGCTGGGGAGGGGGGCAGGCAGCAGCCCCACCTCCCCAGGAGGCCGACCTATCAGCCCATCCAGCCCAGGTGAGCGGCTGTTAACATGCTTTCCCTCCCCACACCAGCGGTCCTGATGTCTTACGGGCAGTGCTCACAGACCTGACACCCCACGGGGTCTGAGCTGGGGTCTCCTGCTGCCAGGGGTAGGGTCCGGGGCCCACCCCCACCAGGGCGGGGCTCCGCCTACAAGCTGGCGTCTGGGCGGACGCCGGGTTTACAGAAGGACCTGGGTTCCAACGCTGCCTCTGCCACACCGGCCATCAGCCTCAGCCCCCCCCACCCCGCCCATAAAATTAAGGCTGACAACAGCCTCCCTGTCGAGTCACTGTGAGGATTCAATGGGAGGACAGGAAAAGTACCCGAGCAGCGAAAGAACCCCAGATGGCAGTCACCGAGGGAGCACCTAGAGCACAGAACCACACTCCCCATAAACCTGACGTTTCTTTGACATTTTCGGTTTTACCTTTAAAATCCATGTTAACGGCCGTTCCTCGAAAAAGCTAAGCACGAAATTGCCAGACCACCCAGCAATTCCACTCCTAGCTACGGACCTAAAAGAACCGGAAGCAGGTCCTCAAACACTGGTCACATGTGTCCCCAGCAGCGCCACTCACAGTGGCCAGGACATGAGAACGGCCCGAGTGTGAACGACCAGATGCAAAGGACGAACGAAACGTGGCGCATCCACACGACGGGACACGGCCCAGCCACAGAAAGGAACGAAGCCCTGACACACGTCACGACGTGGATGAACCTCGAAAACACGATGCTGAGTGGGAGGAGCCAGCCGCAAATGGCCACACAGCGTAGGACGTTCCGTGTCTGTGAAACGTCCAGAACAAGCAAATCCACAGAGACAGAAAGCAGAGGTGGGGGGTGCCAGGGGCAGGGGGACAGGGGTTCCACTGGGCTGATGATAGTCTGGGACTAGACAGAGGTGCTGGCCATGCAACACTGTGAATGCATTTTCTGCCGCCTGTGACCTGTCACGTTTCATGTTATGTGGATTTCGTCTCAATAATAATAATAAGAAAAATCCATGACAACGTTATCGTCTATTTCATAACGTGTGTGCTTTGAGAAACATCTCCGTCTGTGATTGTCCTCCCTGACGACAGTTCCCCTTCTGCCCGACACAGTGGGCTCGGCAAAGTGGTGTGGGACGTGGCGCCCCAGATGTAGGCGTAGATCACGAAGGTAGCTGGTCACCCCGAGTCACACTGACCCCTTGCCCGGCCTGAGCACTCCGTGGAGACCGGCCTTGGAGCCAGGGCTCGGCACAGAGGCCTGATTCCCGTAGCAAGACGGTGCTGGAACCTCGCCCAGGGGAAATTATTTTCCTGGGGCCTAAATTTAGTCCGGGGAGTTTGAACATTATGTCATTCCCTGAACTCACTCGGCAGTAAACAAGTTCAAAGCAAGGTCAACGGCGGGCGACCAACCCGCTCCGTCCTAAAGGCAGGCAGTGTGCCCCGACCTGGGAGGCCGCGGGGGTTCTGCCGCCCCCTGGGAAGCCCAGCAGCCCCTGGTGGGAGGCAGGTGGGTCTGGCCCCCTGTGCTGGTCCTGCCTGAGTAAGGCCGGGCAACCGTGCAGGCCCAGTGGCGTGGGGTGGCCGGAAGGGGACCCGGTATAGTTCCCACCTGGGCCTGTAAGGCTTGTGGAGCCGGCGGTTACCAAAATGTCATTATGGAAGGAAGCGTTAACCTAAGATATGGTTCCTGCGGCTGAGCTTGACCTGGCCCTTTAGGGCAAAGGAGACGCAGACCCCAAACAAGGAGTGACGAGGCCATGGCCAGGGAGAAAGGACGGGAAAGCAGAAGCCGGGCATGGCCCACACCTGGGTGACCCTGGCACTGCTCACCAGGCCCCTCCCATGAGCCGGGCTCAGCCAAGATCCCGCCTAACTTTCCCGCCTCACTCACTCTGCGGTGACCTGACGGGAGACAACATTTCTGTCCCCTTTTAAAAGGAAACAGGAAGGCGTGCCGGAGGTGACGCTGCCAGCCCAAGGCCGCATGGCTAGCAAGTGTCGGCCCAGATGTGACCAGCTCCTCCTGTGCCCCATGGCCCCCCGGCCCATGCTGGCGTGGCAGAGCGGGAGCTGGGGCCCGCTGTCCGGCATCACGAGAGACTATGGCACCGCGTGACGCACGCCGGGAAAAGGTCGAAATTCAAAGTCCGGTTTGCACGGAACGCCTAAGGCTTTCGTACCGTCCTAGTCAAAAACCCGTAAGTCGAACCGTTGTAAGCCGAGGGCCATCTGGGTTTGAAGTTTTTCCTTTAAGGGGAGCGCAAAGACCTCAGAACATCCACAGACATCCGTGTGCGCGCGCATACACTCACGCACACGCACACACGCACGTGCTCCCCAGTCACCACTTCTTGCCGCCTCCGCCAGCCCCTCCCCTCTCCTGGCTCCATCCCGCCCCCCATCTCATTGTTTGTTCTCAATCCTGGCAACCAAAGTGACCCCTCAGACCATAACACTGAACTCCCAGTGGCTCCCGCCCCACTGGGCATAGGTCAGGGTCAGTGAAGTGGCCTTGGCCACCCACACTTGCGGCCCCACCACCTCTCCGACCTCTCCCGCTGTATGAGCCCCCCACCCACTCCCCTCCAGCCACACTGAGCACGGTCGGGCCGCAGGGCCTTTGCACGGGTTCCCTGTGCCCACAAGGCCCCCCTCCCCGTTATCCACGGGGCTTCCTCCCCCGGCTAATTTGAGCCTCGTCTGCTCTATGAGGCCTTCTCCGACCACCCAAATCCTAACACTCCCCATAATGCGGCAAGGCTCCCCCTTTCCCTCCCTACTTTATAATTCTCCACAGCACGAACTGTCCAAACACTAGATCGCGTGACATCTGAGTCACTCCCTGAGAACAGGCCCTCCAGGCCTTACCGTCCTTCCGCCCTGGCCTTTGGGGGCCGGCCTGTGGCGGGGCCTCCTTGGAGTCCTATCCCCTGGCTGTGGGACCTGGAGGTGGACCGGGGTCCCCAGGCGCACGTACCTTCAGCCCCGGGCAGCTCCTTCCCCTCAGCCTGGGCCTCGTCGGCCTTGCCGTCGGTGCCGTCGCCGGGCGCGGACGGGGTGGGCTCTGGGGCTGGGCTGGAGTTGCTGCTGTTCTCTTGTTTGATGGGGGAGGCGTCCGCGATGGAGCTCTGGTTGCTGTTGTCGTCTGCGTGGGGGGGACAGACACAGGGGGTGTCCCTCGGTGCCTGCGGCAGGACACTCTCCCACGAAAGGAGGTGGCTGACACACCCAGGGAGCTGGCACGCAATGCCGTCCCTTGCGGCCTGCCCTGTGAGGCGAAGGGGTCTGGGAGCCGGGCTCGGCCAGTCCCCGTGGGCTCCCCGAGGAGGCAGTCAGCCACAGATGGTGGCCTGGCACGATCTACATCTTTGGGGGACATCAGAGGCCTCCGTCTGGGTGGGGAAACCAGACATCTTGGGCCCCTGGCCGTGAAGTAACACCAAGGCCGAGGCACGGCCCGCGAGGCCCTCGCCCAAACGCTGCCTCTGATCAGGCCTCCAGATCACACTTCCACTTGATACGAAACAAGAGAGAGAGAATGAGGTAACCACGCAAAGTGGGACACGCCACAGGACGACTGGCCCCGGTTCTTCAAGCCAATACCATTAAAAAAAAAAAAAAAAAGAACAGGATTATTGTAGATTAAAGAAATTGAAGAGACCCAACAGCTACACCTGAGAGAGAATTATTTGGATCCCGTTTTGAATGTAAGAGACGTTTTAGGACCCTTGGGGAATTCGAATACAGTCTGAAGGTTAAACGATATCAAGAAATTATTATCAATTCTGTTAGGAGTGACAGAGGCGCACTGGGTATGTAGAAACGTCATTTATCACGAAGGGGGCTCAAGGGTTTACATACAGACTTAGAGATGGGGACTCAGAAAAACGTACTTTAAAACGCTCTGGCGCAGGCTGCACGCAGCTGTCAGAATTCCCTGAATTTTTACACTCGAGAGTTGTGCATTTTTATACGTAAATTGTATTTCAATTAAAAAAAAAAAACGACACCACATTTAAGAAACAGACAAGGCACCGATGGTGTTTTCAGATGAGTGGAAATCTAGGAAAAAAGAGAACTGGGCGATGGCACTGGTGTCTGTGCTGGGAGCGGAGCTGGGGTCCCAGGGCGCACAGCACCTCGCACGGGACCCCCTTTCTTGGGCACAGAGAGTCATCTTAAACTGTAGATACTCAAGTAGCGATGTCAAAAATAATACCATAATCTTCCGCTGCTTTTCTGGGCTATGCG